TCCTCCTCCTCCTCCTCCTCCTCCTCCTCCTCCTCCTCCTTCCAGAATTCCTGAGCCAGCATAGCTGAACTGTAGTCAACAAGTCACAAAGGTGCCATAGTTTCACACCCCGGCCTTAAGTGATAGGAGCAGTTCCACTATGACATTCTGAAAACCAACTATGCAAAGTGAGAATTTGAAGTTTCTCTCTTGTTTTTACCTCATGGATTCTGCCTGAGGCCTGTTGATGGTAAATGGTGGGGTTTCTTGAAAGAAAATTCTTAGGTTCTCACAGCTGCTGAAGGACAGGTCATGTGGGCGAGTGGTTCTTTCCCGTCTCCTTATTCTACGTCTTCTTGGAGAGTTGGACAGTCCAAAGCTGGCTGGGGACTGTTTGACTATTTGACACAAGGATGACTCGCCTGAATCTCTAGCCAGGAACAAAGTGGCCTTTGGCTGGAGTTTCCCCAAAGTTGGTGGTGAAAAAGGCTGAGGGGCCACTCCAAAGGAGAACCTTGTGGATGAATGAAGAATTAGAGAAGAAGAAGACATAACTAATTTCCTTCCTGGTGTTGGCCACTTTAAATGGTGTTTCTGCTCGAATCTGGTGGTCAGACCCAAGAAATTTGGCACGGAGGAAGGGGGTGGGTGGGAAAAACCAGGACATTATTGTCCTTGTATCTTCAATGGAGGAGTCATCTCAGATAGATATTGGAAAATAACATAACGCGGGCCAGAAGTGGGTTTCAGGAAGGATGTACCATGAGTAAAAGTATGTTCCACCTGCTTTGAGAGTTTTCTTCTGCTTCCTATTTGGAACTCCTGACAAATGCAGGAATTTACAAGGCTGAGGTTCATCAGGGTCATCGTAGAGGAATTGGGCCTCACCCCCAATTTTGTGGGGCCACTAATACCATTGGCCTGAGTGATGTGTCTTAAAATCTTTAATATTCAAACCATGTCGTGCTACCCCAAACCTGCCAGTCGGAAATTTCTTCTGCTGAGATAAAATCAGTCCACCTGTTTGACTTCCTGTTCAGATCTTCTTCTCTCTTTTGACTGGTTTCAGAGCATCTTCTTCATTCATGGTGAGTTAAGATACTGTGGTCAATATTTGGAAAATTTTGGGTTGTGAGAAGCAATTTTAAAATGTGCTTGTAAAAGAAATGACTGTATATAGATGTTGGGGGATTCGAGGGAGATCCAGTATTGTGAGCTGCGACGGGGAATGGGGCTTAGGGATCTACAGTTGATTGAAAAAAAATCTGAATCCCTTCAGTTGCAAAAAAATATATAACAATTGCCTGAATATTCTAAATATTTTAAATATTCTAAAGAATTCTGTTCTGTTAAGGGAATGACAAATACTTTGCCTAAAATTATTTTCTTTTGAGTTGTTGTATCATCCAATAAAAGTAGGTGTAACTAGTTCTAAGGAAGAAGGACGAACTAAATTTAGTTGTAATTTAAACAAACTATAATCTGTTCATTTATAACCAACTATACATTTAGTTTTACTTTATGAGTGTATAAATTTGCTTAATCAACCAATGAAAGCATATTGAGAAAAGTAGTCACAGATTTGTGTGAAATGTTTCCTGTACCTTTAGAGATAAATCCAGTGTAGATTAGTCTTAGATTTTTAAGACTCATTATCTCCAAATTGTAGTGGCAGGTCACAATTGGACTATTATTGTTATGTATTTATGAAAGGAGCAACGGATGGAAACCGGATCAAGGTGAGAAGCAACTTAAAACTAAGTTGCTTAAACTTAAAACTAAGGAAACATTTCCTGACAGTGAGAATAATTAATTATTGGAACGACTTGCCACCAGATATTGTGGCTGCTCCATCACTGGAGGTCTTCAAGAAAAGATTGGAAGTCGCTTGTCTGAAATGGTATGTGCCTATAGGTTATCCTGCCTGAGCAGGGGGTTAGACTAGAAGACCTCCAAAGGTACCTTCCGACTCTGTTATTCGGGAGCATCCTAAGCACAGAATACAATACTAATGGAAGGGATAATGCAAAAGAAAATATTCGAGTAATGAAATATGTATAATAAGAATTCTGCAGCGTAGGAATTATGTTGGAGACTGATACTATATTTTTTTCCTTTTCTTTGAAGATCTCTGGGGTAAAGCTTTTAGCCTGTTCAATAAGCTTACTTAGCATTTTCTTCCTTTTTTTGTTTAACTTTCCCACCCTTTGAAGCATAACAAGCCAGAAACTCTATTGTCATCGCTCCCAGTAATAAGATAAGATGAGGTAAACTTTATTGTCATTTTTCACCACACAGTGGTGAAGGCACTTGCCTGTCGCTCGGAAGGCCAAGACTTCCATCCTAGGTAGCAGCACACGTTTGTCTCTCTCCTAGGGCGCAAAGAGAAAATATCTGCTGCAAACTCCACATAGGTGTCAGGAAGGACATCTGGCCAGTAAACGCTCAGCTCCATAATCCAGTCACCCCAGCTCTAGCCTGAATTAAGGAATTACAGGGCCCTAAAAAAGGGAGTGCTTGCATACACAATGGGGACATTAAAATGAAATTCCAATGCCCGCTCCCGGGAGGGGGGATAAAAACCAGAAGAACTCAGGATATACATTTTGCCAAAATCAGAGACTTCCTGCGAGAAAATGCAGAAGGGAATGCTGCATTTATTTATTTATTTGTCCAATGTATATACTACAGGCACCCATTTCACAAAACCAGTGACTCTGGGCAACATACAACCAAAGCTAAAAGAACGAATAAATAGCTAAAACTGTTTTAATGATTGAAAAAAAACCAAACCCAACAGCTATAGCATTTACGATCATAGAGAATTTTAGATTGAGAAGAGCAATCTTGATCAGGATTGTATTCTCTAAATGATCATCAAGGCTCACTTTGAACACACTAAGCAAAATGGAGCTCAGCCCCAGATATTTGTACTTTATTTATTAAATCTGTAGGCTGCCCATTCTTTTTTTTTTCTTTTTTCTTTTGAGTGACTCTGGGGTGGGGTGAGGGATAAAATGGCAGGCTGGCTGGGGAATTCTGGGCGTTGAAGTCCGCATATCTTAAAAGCAGCCAAAGTTGGGAAAAAAACAAGCAATGTGAATACTTGCAAGATTTATGGGGCAGAGAGAGTGCAAAATTGCATCATCCCAACGCACCCATAGATAAGGAAAGAGGATAGTAGAACAAAATATTATCAGACTGCTGGCTAATCCCATGTTTTAGATTGCAACAGGGTTGCCCAAACAAGCCGGCTGGGGAATTCTGGGAGTTGAAGTCATTTACACATCTTAAAACTGCTGAGATTGAGAAATCCCGCACAAAGAGATTAAATCTAATCTTCTTCCATTGCTCCTCTGGAATTTTTATCTTTGTCTCTCTTTTTCTTTTTTTCAAAAGAGAATCAAAATCGGATCCATCAAAAGCTGCCAAGATAATAATTCGCAGGCATAAAAATTCTTCCTTTTTTTAAAAAAAAATCTGAGTATATATAAGCAGGCAGATTTGGGATTTTGGGTTTTTTTGAAGCCATAATTATCTATGATTGGGTTTCAGGGAGAAATGGCAGAGTTTATCTTTATATCCATAAAGCCTTCTTCCCGTAGAAAAGTCCAGATAACAAGATCCCTCTCTCTGACCTATCTTCTTTCTTGAAATGTTAAGGTGACTTGGTTTTGCTTGGAGATTAGAGCTGCTTTGAAAATGATGGGCCCTCTGCAATTCCCCAGGAAGGTTGCAACACGGCAGACTTTTTCTGTTGACAAATACATTTTACTAAAACACAAACAACTTTGAGGAGTTGCTTGTTAGCACTAATAAAACCAGCTCCTCTCACAGAAGTTGATGTAAATGTGTTAGTCTTTGAGAGCTGCGTGCAATGAAATTTCATTTTAATGTATGCCGATTAGTGTACATTGAAGTGACAATAAAATTACTCTATTGTATTCTTGCTTAATTCCTATTCTATATACTCTACTCCTCTACTCTACTCCATTCCATTCTCTATTCTATTCTATTCTATTCTATTCTATTCTATTCTATTCTATTC